AAAAAAAAAAAAAAAAAGCAGTACAGTTGAATCATGAAAAAAACTTTCGTGAACTGTATTTTGGCACTGGGACTTTGGTTTAATTGAAAAGTGCTAAAAGCATGGACTTTCAAATTTCACTATTATATTTATTCTAAATAAATTTATTCTAGGGATAGTGTAAGACAACTGTCTTATAATATCACCATATGTCCCCCACTTAAAACTTGGTGTAACAAATTTCCTTGAAATTAATTGCCAGGAAAAGCTTTGCTCCTCCTAGAACTGGTATTTTTTTCCCCCTTAAGAATATCAACAACCATTTAACTCAGTGTTTCTCAACAGGGTAGACAGAACAATTCTTTAAATGTGGGATGTCCCCCACACAACAAACAGTTAGTACTCTTGGCATCTAGTCATCAAAATTGTCCACAAACATTTCTGAATGCACTAGTTGAAAAGTGACTAAACAGACTGTTTATTTCCTTTGTTTCATCCACCTGGAATTGTGACCAAATTTGCCATTCTTTAAAATACTGGGCAGGATATTATGGTCCACACAACTGTATTCTAATTGTCTTCCAGCCTTGAACTTAAAATTTAATTTGTATTTTCCCTGGTCCTAAATGTCACTTTGTGTTCTGGTTTTATTATTAGGATACTACAATTCCTCTAAAGAACCAGGTGAGGCACAAATAAATGAAGACAGGTTGACAGTTCAGAGATTTTTTCCCCCTTTCATTCTTAACAGTACTAATAACATGAAACAAAATATCATTTTTATATACAGTATGAATTTCTAACCCCTACCCATCAATTGGTAATACAAACACTCCTCAGACACTTAATTCTTGGGAATTAATAAAAATTAACAAGCCAAAGGGTAATAAAATATTTTTTAAAACCTTGATGAAAGTGACTATGTAAATATAAAGTACCACATTTATATAAAGCTTTATTTCTACACAACAGCAATTTTAAATCAGAAGAGATCATAGGAAGTAGCTATTGCTTTTAACATAATAATATAGTAAAAATAAATTTTGCCATGAAATTGACAGTTTTGTAATAAAAATAAAATTTTGCAAAAAATGTATATTCTATATGAAGCTAGTTTTGTGTGTTTGTCTTCATTTCAGATGAACATTTTTGAGATCATCTAATCATACATTTTCCTTTTTCATATAAGCAGAAGTCATTTTGGTTCTGATTTAACTGCATGATTCCCTTTACAGAATCTATTAAGAAACTCAGTATTATTAGGCATTTAGATATAGATTACTTTTTTAATCTAAAATATTGTCTTTAGTGATTATAGTTCTTTGAAGGGCACTATTTTTTTATACTAATCTGAATGTCACTTACAGTTTTTGTAGCTACTTTTGTGGGAGTACTTAGGGAAGGTCCTTCTGAGTAACTTTTGTGAAAAATGAGATAAAAATTAAAGATATTATCCTATATTCTTCTTACCTTAGAACTGCAAATGGCTATGTTAGCAGGAAGTTGGGAAAACTGCTTCAACTCAAATACATCACGTGCTGCCCATCGGCTCATGTGATTTTCAGCCTTGCTTGATCCAATCACATTCTGATTTGAATGGGTGTAAGCCACTTCCTTAACACCATCTAGGAAGTAATTGAATGTTTATTAAGTGACGCTTTGTTACAAAGTGATATGGCTCCATGTATACTTAAAAATTACCAGTAATAACACTAAAAAACAAGTTATGTTTGCTTTCTTTTTAATGCACAAGAAAAACACTCAGCGTGTAAATTAACATCATTAACATTCTTTCTTAAAGAAGTGAAAAGAAGAAAAGTTGAAATATGTGGGTTCAGGCTAACTTGGAAACAATCTTTCCCTCTCATCAACATGGGAAGTGCTGAGAGTAGGCAACTATTAAGATGTAAACCTGAAATGAGGGTTGTGCCCAGGAAAAAAGCATGATGGAAGGTCCGCTGTAGGAATGTACAGGTTTCCCTGTTGATTTAGAAAAACTGTTTGCTAATTAAGGGCTAGCTTCCTCCATTATCTTAAATATGTACTTGACTACAGTGATAGAATGGAAGTATTGGGTTTATGACCAGGGAGTTTCGTTTGGTTGGCTTTGTTTGGTTTTATTGTTTGTGTTTTGTCATTTTTGTACATATGCCCAGAGAATGTCAAGTTGAGAACTTTTTAGGAAATGAAAAAAAATTAACTCACAGCTTTTATCTTCAGAGGTTTAAAAAGTGCTGTTCTTTTTATTGCTTTGCTTCTAGGTAAATTTATTTTTAAATTGTAGTCATAAGAGAGAAGGCTAGGACCGTTTAAAAGCCCCTTTAAACAGCTCTGGCAGTGAACTTCAATTATGATCTTCAACACTTGTGCTGTTTCAGTCCTGAACCTCTTGAAGAGAAACTGCCAATCATGCAAAAACACCAAACCAAAAACCCACTGCCATGGAGTTGATTCTGACTCTTAGCAATCCTATAGGATAGAGCAGACATGCCCCATAGGATTTCCAAAGCTGTAAACCTTTTCAAAAGCAGACTGCCTCATCTTTCTCTCACAGAGTGGAGCAGCTCGCAGATTCGCCTTAGCCACTGCACCACCAGAACTCCTTTGTAAAAACAAGCCACTGTTAAATAACATTACTAAAGGCGTAACTAGGAAAACACCTTTATGTTTCAAAACACCAAGCAATATGCATGGCACATATATTCCAACTCTTAAAAAGGATGCTTCTGGTAGAAAGTTTACTCAGATTTTTCTTAATTTTGATAACCATATTATTCAAAATAGTATTAGTTCCACATTAACTACTGATACCTTTGCACACAGTGAAAAATACCTAGCTGATCATTTAAAAATAGTTTATGCAATAATTCTTCAAATCTAAAATTTAATATAGCATACAAACCAAGCTTTAGTTATTTAGTTACAATAGTACTAAAAATACATATGTATCATAATGAACTTTTACATGAGACTACTAATAATCCCTAAAGAAAGAATGAGTTGTAAATAAATCAAAGATTAATGGTTATACAGCAAAACTCCCTTGCTCATGTATCAGCTTCTTTGATATAGTTTTTGGGAATAAGTCCAACACTTTTTAAAGCAATGCTAATTCCTAAAATCACTAGGCTAGATTCTGGGCAGATGGTGGTGGCAGGGAAAGAAGTTCTTCCAATCTCTCTGACCCTCCATATTACAAATAGACACCAACTAGACAGCAAAATGAAAAGCTGATACATATTTACAGCAAGAGTGGATGACAGACAAGACATCCCCTACGAGCCCCAAATATAAGCAGGTGGGGACAATCCACCAGCAGCCACAAAATCTACATGGGACCAGAGTCTGTAAAGGAGGAAGAAGGAAGCAACGGGGTGGAGCTCTGAGAACAAGAGACCTCAAAACAGCCAACGGGTCTTTACTGGAAAGCACAATGGGCCAACGTGAGCAGCAGCAGCTAAAACTCCAAATGCTGAGTGGGTGCAGGGGACTCATGCTAAAAAGTCCTGGGTCTGCAAACTAAAACTAGAATTTCCCCAAACTGACCCACCTACTCCTTCCCCAGTCAGGGCCACATTGAGGAGAATGTTTTGGAAGGGAATCCAAAAGAGCAGGGTAGGAATAAAAAGGATGAAGGAAAGGAAGATCCAGAACAAAGCAGTAGAGGAAAACAGAGCTGGGAAATCCCAGAAGGGAAGCTACCATACTTGTGATTATTGCAAAAATAAAAGATATGGAGCTCTACGAAGTTAAAAAAGAACTCACCCCTGTAGTTCAATTTTCAGCCAAATGATAGCCAAGGCTATCAGGTGAACAACAATACCAGGGAGGTACGCACCCACTAGATCAACCATACAAGATCAAAAGGGCAGCATCTGCCCAGGGAGAAAGCTCATTAGACAGAAAGAAACAGGAAAGAAGGATGAAGAGAGATGGGAAACATAGGGAAGAAATGGGCAGAGTGCTGTTCCACTATAGGGACTGCACTGAACTTAAACTGTGTAGGAATTGTTGAATGGAAACAATTTGCTCTCTTTCACCCAAATCACAATTGGAAAAAAAAAAAAAAAAAAGACAATGCAGAAAAAAGGGAAACAAAAAAAAGATTTCCTAAACCCTGCCTAATTTTAAGAATTCAGGATAAATAATTTAGATAAAAATGAGCATGAATAAAGTATAAGGGTTAAAAGTCATTACCAAAAAAGAGAGAGAATAAGGAGAATAATATCCCTACAATAAAAACATGCAAGAAAGATGTACTCACAAAATAGACAAGGTAAAAGACTATGAAAATGATTTTAAAAAAACATGAGAGACAATATAAATCAGATTTAGAAAACTCAGGAATCAGTGACAGAACTGAAAGAAGACAGAAATAAAGAAATGATTTCAGAAGACTAAGCTAGAAGGAATGTAAGAGGGAAAAAACACAACAGATGATGGTGTGAAAAAAAGAAAAACAAGAAGGAAAATCTAAAAATCATAAAAGAAATTAAGAGATTTAAAAAATTACATAATCTGACAAATACTGAAGATAAACAAAGACTGAACATGTGAATAATAGGAGTCCCTGAAAAAGAAAGTCAAAGGAAAGGAACAGAAGAAATAGCTAGTAACACTAATCTAAGAAAGCCTTCCTGAAATAAAAATTGAGTTGAAACTACACTGTGTATCTGAGAAAATTTACCCAGAATAAACACCACCAAGACACATTAGTAAAATTACTGGAGTATAATGAAAAGAAAATAATCTTTTGAGAGTCTAGGAAAAAATTAAAAAGAACATGTGATACAATACTTCAGTATTTAAAATACTTGAGCAAAGAAAATGTGAGCCAAGGATTTAATATCCAGCAAAAATAACTTTCAAGTATAAAGGGCATAAACTGTTAACAACAAGACACAGAGGGAATCTTAGTCCTATGTGCTCTTCCTGAGAATCTACTAGAAAATAAGCTACCCTCAAAATGAATTGAGAGACACTGGGGAGCATTAAATATAGTCACCTCTATAACCAAGAATGTATCAAGGCAAAGATAGAAAAGTATATTGTGTGCTGTCTCTGCCCTCTGACCATGTACATACAGTACATTTATTTAAAAAATGGGAGAATACATGCAAAAAAAAAGTTTTAATGTTTCCAAAATCATATCCTGGTGGTATCAGTACTTTTATTCTTTGTTGTCTAATATGGTGTGGTAGTTAAGGTTCTACCAACTTGTCTAGGCCTGGTTTTACATGGCTAGGCAGCTGGGTATAGTTATTACCCATGATAAGACTGGTAATCAACTCCATAGTGGAACCTACTGTGAGCAGCTGAGTAGCTGCCTCAGGGATGTGGTCTGCTCCCAGTATATACGAAGACGCTTTGAGAAAGGTCTGGACGTGTTTACATATCTGGATCCTGCATTTGGCTGAGTCTTCATCTCAATGGCCTGCCGTGTTGTCTGCCAATCTTAGGACTATTAATCAACTTGAGTAAGTGCTCTGCTGTGTGGTTTGATAATTTTGGGACAGTGCCATTTTACTTGTTGACCTTGGGTTTGTCAGCCTCAGCAGCCTGAAGTTATCTGAGTTAAGAGAAGACTCTAGCTTCAGTGGACTGGAAGCAAGAGGCAGAGCTGAAGCCCAAGGTCCAAGGGCCTTCACCTAGCCTCTATAGCTGGCATTCTGAACTCAGACTTCCAGCCTCTTAAACTGTAAGAGAATAAATCCCTATTTGTTAAAGCCACCCATTTGTGGTATTTTCTGTTAGAGCAGCACTAGAGGACCAAAACATACGGCATAAAACAAATGAGTAATTACGATTTATGGTGTTCCATAATTATTCATTTGTTTTACGCTATATGTTTTGGTCGTCTAGTGCTAATCTAACAGAAAATACCACCCACCAGCGACTCCTCAGAAGGAAGATTGGGCAATCTACTTCTGTAGTGATACTGCCTTGGAAACCCAAGGAGGGGTCGCTATGAGTCGGATCCAATGGCAGTGTGAGAGAGAGAGCGATCTCAAGGATCTCTGGTGGTGCAAACAGTTTAGCCCTTCTAACCTACCCAGTGGCTCTGTGGGATAATGACCAGGTAATCTGCTTCTGTAAAGATTACAGTCTAGAAAACCATATGGGGCCATTCTATTCTATCATATGGGGTCACTATGAGTTAAAATCAACTGGAGGCACCTAACAACATAATTCAGTAATTACCTATATGTTTGAGAACCAGGACTGTCAATATGGAAGAAATAGAATACAAATGTACTAAAGACTTTCCAAATTTGGATTGGAAGTATCAATAAATATAAATTCATGAGGTATTAAACATTATATATACAAATACATATGTACACATATGAGTATAAATCATATGTATATATAAATATATGTGTGCGTGTCCATTGAAAAGGCCCCAAAATAATGATCAAGTCAGTAGCAATGATCATTGCTAGCACCAGACTGTGGTCTCGAAACACACTTTCTCACTAAAAAAAATAAATTAATTAACTTTTTGGTGAAATGACTGATTGTACATCTGAGTTAGAAACTGTGTGAGATGATTCCAGGACATCTTACTATACCAGATAGCAAAAAAGCTTCCAAAGATGACTAGTGTTATGTCAAAACTAGTGTCAGGAGTCAAAGGGAACATGTCAAAAGGTTCCCATTTGGCCAAAGGTGTGATAAGTGAACTTCGATAATGATATTATTACTTATTAAAATCAATTAAATACACTGAAATAAATTAATTCATAATAATATTAAAACCAAATGGACCATGTGAAAGGAAAACAGGGAACAAATACATTATACTAAAAACAGGTAACTAAAGAAAGGAATTAAATTGTTTTCTGCCTTTCGTATATGAACTGTATCACCAGATATGGGTAGCAGAAAAGGGGAAGTATCTCTTTATAAAAACAGGCTAATACATGAAAAAGAAATGAGAGAAGTAAAAACACCACCTTGCTACTATGACTGAGTAGATATATACAGGCATTAAGCACTGATGGTTGCTAAGATCATATTGAGGAACCAGCAAACATTTTGTGCCTCCTACAGTTTTGCCAAACACTAACATTTGTTTTGCCAAAGGGATCAAACCTGAGTCTGATCCAGTCTCTGGAGGCATCTGCACATTTGCAGGAAATACAGAGGGCAGAGAAACATGTTCAACTGCACCAGGAATACACAATCGGCAAAATCAGACTGAGGAAAACTCTGTAGATGGCCAGGTTCTTCAATAGATAAAGAATAAAGAAATGACAGAGATGGAGGAGGAACCCTGTAGGTTAAAAGTGACTACATACAATTTTTTAAAAAAGGGGGAGACTAAACTGTAATGTCTAGGGATGCATATTAATGTCAAAAAATCATAAAAAATGGAAAGAAGTCACGGCTACAAAAGTCAGAATAATTACTATCTGTGGAGGAAGATGAACCGTGATTCCCACAGGCATATGGAAGGGGTCCAGGAGTAGCTGGCAAAGTTTTCTATCTTGACCCACGTGGTCTTCCTTTTATCCTATCTCCCCTTACTCATCTATGTCTCAGTGTAGCATCTTGATTTTAGAACTATTTCACAAGATAACTCAACAATCTCTTATTGAAATATTTGCATACAAAAAAAATTTAAAGTTTTCTGATGTTATCTGTAGTTACCTAAAAATTTGTCCACTGATTCATATATTTGCTCTTGTTTGACAGTTCTCTCATTTGAAAATTCCATGTGTTTTCTTGGTATAAAAGTGGTATTTTTCTTACTGTAGTTAGGCAATTTCGAAGAGAAACTGATTCTATCTTTTATAATATTTGCTCTACCGCTCTGTTCAGGGGAACTGATGTGGCTGACAGATAAATCATCATCTGAGGATGAAAAATCCTCAATATCCTGAGAGTCACAATCCTCATCTGTTGAATTCACTTGCTTTCTTTTCTTCATTGTTTTAGAAAAATTGTGAAGTTTGCTTTTGCTGTCTTTTTCTTTCTTAAGCCTCAAAGAACTAGTAGCTCTTTGCTTTCTTACTCTTGACTTGGAAGTTATTTCAATGTCATCAGATTCATCACTAATATCACTAGTGCCTTTTCTTTTCATGGTAGTTTTCAGAGTAATGCACTCAGGATTTAATTTTTTTGAAATTGGTCCATTTCCTCTGACATCAGTTTTCTTATCATCACCATTATTTCTTTTTACAATGTTTTCTGTTTCAGAACCTTCAGATCCATCCAAGTGTGGCATAAAACTTCTATTACACTTAGGGAATCTCTGAGTTGTACATTGTGTGGGAAAGATGACATCACTGTCTTCTGATTCTGTGATAGTCTGGTGTTCAATTGTATGTTTAGAATTTTTTCCATCATCGGACTCTGAAGAAATATTCTGTTTTAAAGTCTTTTCACTTTTATCAAAAATAAATTTTTCATTTGAATTTAAGATGCTAACTTTCTTCTGATGTTCTGAAGAACCAAGAGAGTTCTGACTTTTTTGACAACCAACAATCATATCATCCTTGGCTTCTACTGAATGGCACATGGGCTGCTCATCAGAACTTTCATCATCAGAGGTATCAATTCCATCACTGTCCTCAAGTGCTTTATATTTAGTCTCAAACAATTTAGAGAAACCACACTGGAGTAAGTTGAGCTGTCCTGGAGGACCTGAAGCTTTAGCTGAATGAGTTTCTTTGCTCTTAACGGTCTTTCTTCTTGAGTTTCCCACTGATTCCTCATCACTAAAATCACTGCAGAGATCACAGGCTTCTTCGGCCAGTGGTTCTGCAGGCTGTTCTGGATCTTCTTGTTCTTGACAGTCAGGTTCTCTAGGCTACATAAGAACAACGACAGAAAGATTAGATAATGATATGAAGTCTATCATCCTGAAAGAGAATTAACTTTGGGCTGATAATTTTTGTACAAGTATATAATTTGGTGTTTTCCAATAGCACAACAGTCAATAAACGTAAAACAAAAAAACTCACTGCTGTCGACTCGATTCTGATTCATAGTGACCCCTACTTGGGTTTCTGAAGTGGTATCTCTACAGAAGTAGATTGCCCAGCCTTCCTTCCGAGGAGTGGCTGGTGGGTTTGAACCGCCAGCCTTCTGGTTAGCAGTCAAATGCCTTAGGCATTACGCCACCAGAGCTCCTAATAAACATAAAGGACTTAATATTATACCCTGGTAGCCTTTTCTCTTTTCAAGTTGAATAACCTTCCAAAAAAATTAGAAGTTTAAACTAGAGCACTACGTGATCAAATTATTTATAAGGAAAATACAGAGCAGGGTGGTCAGCCTCTACGATGTAGGGGCCAAACATTCTGGCTTCAAAAATCAGAAGCACACACTTATTGCTTAAGAATGACTGCGGTTTACTGTACTCAAGCAGATACTTCCAATCATGCTTTAAGAACAAACCAAATTTTCAGGAGTTACCAAGCAAAAAATTCACAATTGGAAAATGTTTCTAACTGACTAAATATAAGAATAAGACCCCATAGGATCTTGATCACAAAGAAACTAGAAAATATTGAAGAACTTATAAAATAAAATTTGTTAAAAAATTTAAATCCCATATTTAATTTTTTTCACATTGACCAGAATTAAATACATCCTTTAGTTTCCTAAAACTGAGGCTAAAAATATATGTTATTAGTAAAAGACTTTGGGAAGGTATTAACAGTAATACTTCCATCTTCATTTGATATTCATATATTTTTATAATTAGAGAACTGTTCATTCCCAAATTCTAAATCATTAGACTAGTATAAGTTTATAGTTAAATCCCTAAAAACTAACAAAAAATAACTAAGAAAGAAAGAGTAGCAATGAAACAACAAAATCTTCTACACATATTCTTTACCTTTAAGAAGGCCTCCTGATGGCGATGTAGATTTTATGGTATCTGAGATAAAACTACCAAAATGATCACAAGTACAAGGACTCAAACCAAATAAAATATCTGCTTGAGTCAGAGAATGATTTTGATGTTTTGATTTCATAATCTAAAATACCCATTGATTGCTATTCTTCCATTTAATTTGTAGGTTAGGTAAAATGTATTTATTTGGGTTGGGCCAGTCACCAATATATAGTGAATCTAATTCTGGACTTACAGTTTGGTGTAGTTAAAATTCCACTTTAGATATAAATGCTTGATGAACATAAAATGAGCCTAAATTATTAATTTTACTGACAGTCCTCTGACTTTGTTTTCCTGACTTAAAAAAAAAAAAAGACTCGACTCCATGTGTTGGTTATGTTTGTGTGTCAACTTGGCTGGGTCTGGTTGAGTGGCTGGGCAGCTGGATGTAGTATTCCATGATGAGACTGGTAATCAACTCCATAGTGGAATCTACCATGAGCAGCTGAGTGGCTGCATTTGGGTATGTGGTCTGATTTGTAACAGCTTTGGAAATGGTCTCTAGCTTATGGCATGTTTGGATACTGCATGTAGCTGTGTCATTGTTCAGCAGCCTGCCATGCTCTGCCAACCTTGGGACTTACAATGGACTTGAATCAATGGCCTATTGTGTGGTTTGGTGACATCGGGACTGTGTGATTTTATTTGTCTACCTTGGGCTTATTAGCCTCAGCAGCCAGTAGATGCCCGAATAAAGAGATGCTTCAGTAGGCCAGGAGCAAGAGGCAGAGCTGAAGCCCAAGGTGGAGGGACTTTCACAAAGCCCCTAGAGCCTGGGACTTTGAACTTGGACTTAAAGCCTCCAAATTGTGAGAGTATAAACTCCTGTTTGCTAAGGCCATCTCATTTGTGATACTCCTGTCAGAGTGGCACTAGGTAACTAGAACACTCCACAAACTGAAAAACAAAAGAAAAAGGAAAAGAAAACTGTCACAGTACATGTTTTCTAGAGTTCTGGGCAACAGGTTAAAAAAATTACTTGCCATTTCCAGTTTGTGAGCTGGAGGTCCCTCTTTCCACCATGTTGTGGCTGTCATGATGCCTGCTTCCACTTGGCCTTCTCTCTATAATGCCAGCAATAAACAGTGCCAATGACTGTGCAACATATGCATAAAAACAATCAACAATAGCAATGACGTGCTAAGAGTTAAGAAAGAAAAACCCAGTGTAGCTTGGTTTAGCTTTCCTAATTTTATTTTTCAATTTGGTAGTTAAGGAACTTACATACAGTTTTATATAATATTTTTAAACACTTTTAATTCTTGTCATAAACTTACTTTTTCAGATGTTGAAAACTAACAATACTTTTCAGCCAATTCCATTAAAAGCACTACCAAAAATCCCCAACTCACTGCCATCGAGTCAACTGTGATTCACAGGGACCTCAATTTGCTTTCCAAGGCTGTAAATCTTTACAGAAGTACACTGCCTCATCTTTCTTCCATACAGCTGGTGGGGTCAAATAACCAACCTTTTGGTTAGCAGCCAAATACCTTAACCACTGCACCACCAGAGCTCCTTTAAAGGTACTACTTAAACACCAAACTCACTGCCACTGAGTCAATTCTGACTCATAGTGACCCCTATTAAGTTTCTGAGACTGTAAATCTTTATGGAAATAGATTGCCTCATCTTTCTTCCACAGAGCAGCTGATGGCTTTGAACCACTGACCTTCTGGTTAGCAGTCAAATGCCTTATCCACTATGCCACCAGGGCTCCTTAAAAGTACTACTGGGGTGGGGAAGGAAGAGTAATTCTAGGGGGTTAAAAAAAAAAATCTTCATGGAAGCAGGGATCTTTCTCCCATGGAGCAGCTGGTAAGTTAAGCATAGTGCCTAAGGCACTTGACTGCTAACCAGAAGGCTGGCGGTTCAAACCCACCAGCCACTCCTTGGAAGGAAAGTTGGGCAATCTACTTCCATAGTGATACTGCCTTGGAAACACAAGGAGGGGTCGCTATGAGTCAGGTCTGACTCGATGGCACATAACAACAACAACCACAAGGCTGGTGGTTCAAACCCACCAGCCACTCCTCAGAAGGAAGACTGGGAAATCTACTTCCATAGAGATACTGCCTTGGAAACCCAAGGAGAGGTCACTATGAATCACAATCGACTCGAAGTCAGTGAGAGATAATAATTATAATAAGGACATATTAGCAACGTTCAAAAACCACAGATAATGCTGAGTATCGGGAACTTCATATTCCAGCACATATATATATAAAATTAAAACAAAAAATTCTTAATTGTGTTGTTTTCATTGTTCAAATACTCATTTATTCAAAAATGTTTATTGAGCCCTTAGGTGTAGCAGAAGAGTCCCTGGTAGCACAAGTAGTTCAGTGCTTGATTACTAACTGAAAGGTGGGTGGTTTGAACCCGCCCAGGGATGTCTCAGGAAATAGGCCTGGAGATTTGCTTCTCTTCAGGTATGAAGCAGTTCCACTCTGCACATGTAGGGTCACCATGAGTTGAAACTGACTCAACAGCAACTAACAGCAACAATATGATGTGCCTAGTAAAACGCATATATAATGCAAGACATGGATGGTCCCATCCTTAATAAACAAACATTAATGGAAGAGAAATAAGATATACTTAGGACAACCAGTGAACAAGAGAACTTTCCATTTAATTACTTGCAATTCTGATATATCTTATGCAATACTTGTTTCACAAAGGATTAGGTGGCTATCCTGATAAAACAGAACTATTCAACTGTTTGATATAGGCCAGAAACAGGACAAATAAGAAAATGCTACGTATATATTTATGTGTGTATATATATACATATACACACACACATACACACATACACATATATTTTAGACAATGATTTCAAATTATAAACATGAATATAGGTTGGCATGGCAGGTACTATTCTGAGATGGGGGTGGGATTTGAGCTAGGCCTGGAGGACAAATAAGGCTACTGATACAAGAAGAGAAATGGGAGTGATGGTGTCTATGAAAGAAACAGCATATTCAAAAACAAGAAAAAGGAAGATTTTAAATGGACTACTCAATTCAGAATTAAATGTAACTAATCCACAAAAAAAAACCTTAGCAGTATGTATCAAATACTGTATAATAGTTTTAATAATTACAAAATACAAAAAATAAGTGTCTTCCTCTTCTAAGCCATCACTAATGATTTTGAACTACTATTGATCTTGCTTAGCATATGCTTACTATAGTATCTATTTATCACATATAACATCCATTTCGACCTCACCAGGATGGTCCAAGTTCCTCAAAAACACCAAAACCCACTGCCATTGAGTCTATTCCAACTCATAGCAACCCTCATAGGTTTCTAAGGCTGTAAATCTTTATGGAAGCAAACTGCTTCATCTTTCTCCTGTGGAGTGGCTGGTAGTTCAAACTGGCACCTTTTTGGTTAGTGGTCCAGTACCTTAATCACAGCACTACCAAAGCTCCTTTAACTTCTTTAAGGGACTAACTACTCCTAGAACTATATTAATGGTACTTAATGAGCAAATGAAACCTAAACGTTTTACTACAAAGTCCTGGAAGTCAAGGGGGACAACCTTATGTTCTATGTACCTCATTTTCCTCAAGCTCTGGTGGCACAGTGCCTAAGGCACTTGACTGCTAACCAGAAGGCTGGCGGTTCAAACCCACCAGCCACTCCTCGGAAGGAAGGTTGGGCAATCTACTTCTGTAGTGATACTGCCTCAGAAACTCAAGGAGGGGTCGTTATGAGTCGGGTCCAACTTGACGGCACAAAACAACAACAACAACATATGACATAGGTGATGGACAAGATATTCTAGGATTTTATGATACCCACATCAGTATCAACTAGAAAATCAGGTTAATATCCTTAGTACTCTGGTATAGTAAAGGATTTAAAATTTTTTTAAAAAAAGGATATAAATATCCTGTTTGAAGAATAAGAAACATCTGTATGCTGAAGATGAACACAACTGGGAGAGTTTGAAATATTGGTATGGAATTTTTATTGGGAACAGAAAACAAAAATCTCCATGAGACATGAGAGTGCATCTCAGGGAGTATTTGGTAACTTTTAATCAAAATACATTTTATATTTTTGTTTATTTAGGAAAGTCTCTTTTTTTAGTTCTTGACTTCAACAGCTGTTTTCAAAAGAATAAACTTCTCTTTGCCAGTCTGGAACGGCCCTGGAGTGCACACCATCTAGTGTGTGCGTTTGGATTGTGCACGCACAGGGTTTATAACTGTGCCTGGGATAAGCGTAGTTTCCTATTTCTCTAAGAGGAGGAGTTCTAAACATAGGCATTTTTTCATACAGAAAATCAAACATTTCACTGAAAAGGCACCAGCAATTGTATTATATAGTTCCTGAGGGAGAAAACCATGTTTGAAATACTATCAAAAAGGTCAAAGAATAATCTCACACCTCCAAGATGTCCCTTGTAAGGCAAGCCCCTTGGGACCTTAGTTTGAAGAGGTTACGGATCCCAAAAAGCTCTCCCCGGTGCTCTTTTGATCCTTGAACTGCTTCAAAATATCGCTTGGCATTTTCACTTCCAACCACCACGCAGTGCAGTTGCTAAAACAGAAAAAAACACAAGATATTTTGCTCCAAGAATATGTCAGAATTTCCTGGCATTCCCTGCATATACACAGCTTTAGCTGGAGCAGGCAGAATCTCCTAAGGGAGGAAATTTTGTTTTAATTTCCCTGGCAGATGTTACCATTATGGTGAAGTAATAATAATCTGGCCAGTTTCATTGAAGCAGAGATCTTACATTTCCTATTTTATCTGTTTTCTACTATTTGAATCAAGATTGCATTTCTATGGAATATCTGCTTAACATAAAATGTTTAATAATAAAACATACATTCAAATACACTTTTCTGCTTTCTAGACTCGAACTACAACATTGTTGTTGTTAGGTGCCACTGAGTTGGTTCTAACTCATACTGACTCTTTGTGTAGTAGAATGAAAAACTGCCCAGCCTGCATAATCCTCACAATTGTTCTTATGTTTGAGCCCACTGTCGTAGCCACTGTGCCAGTTCATCTTGTTGAGGATCTTCCTTTTTTTTTGCTGATCCTGTACGTGACCAAGCATGATGTCCTTCTTCAGGGACTGGTCCCTCCTGATATGAAGGCCAAAGTATGTTAGATGAAGTCTTGCTATCCTTGCTTCTAAGGAGCATTCTGGCTGTACTTCTTCCAAGACAGATTTGTACATTCTTCTGGCAGTCATGGTCTATTTAATATTCTTCACCACAACATAATTCAAAGGCATCAATTCTTCATTCATTGTCCAATTATTCATTGCCCAATCATTGTCCAATGTTCAATCATTCTTATTCGTTGTCCAGCTTTCACATGCATATGAGATGACTGAAAATACTATGGCTTGGTTTTTTATACATATATATATTTTAATATAAAATATCTGAATGCATTATCACAATAGATGCAAACAAAATATATCAAACTTTAAGTCCCTCTTGCACAACGCAGATCCCTTCTCACTAGTCTACTCTATGCAGAAAACCAGCGTTACAATGTTTGGGCATATCTTTCTAGATCTTTTGAATGCAGTTAAAGATATTTATATGTACATACAGAAATAGTTTATTACAAACACAGTTAATACATTCTATGTATTGTTCTGCAAGTTGCTTTCTTTCCTCTAATTAAAAACCTCTTAGAAATCTTGCAACATCTATACATTTGATCTGACTATAATCTCTTCTTGTTGCTGCAGAGTATTTCATAATAGAGATGTATAAGAATTTATGCTATCATTGTGATACTGTTAGACATTTACGCTGTTACCCTTTTTTTTTTTTTTTTAGTGACTACAAAAATGCTGAATACAAGTCCTTGTCATCCCTCACTGTGTAATGTGAAAGTACTTCTGTCAGGTAGATATGGAGAAGGTTATATGTGTTTAACATTTTAATATGCTGCTAAATTAGCTTTTAAAAAGAAATTATCAAGTTGTATTCTTGACATTCATATTCATTCTTGTATATGGATGTTTCTCAGACACAGGAAAAGTTCAAAAACCAAAACCCAAAAAATCTTTTACAAAACTGAAGACCTTGCTTTATTTAGTATTTCTAGATTACAAGTCTCTTTAAACATCTTTTCATGTGTATGTTGATCATTTGTTTCTTCCCTTCAGTGAAATGCCTAATCACATTCTTATTTGTGGAGAGAGCCCCTACCCAAGGCAGGAAGGCAGGAAAAGCCAGGGTTGACGGTGGTGGCAGCATCCAGCCAAGGGGAGGGAGAGAGTCCCCTCCCATGGCAAGAAGGCGGGAAGCCAGAGCCGACAGCAGCAGGATCCAGGTAAGGGGAAGGTGGAGAGATTTGGAACAGCTAAGAGAGATGACCTTGTCTGTCAGTTTGTCATACTGTGTTGACTTGCACATTGCTGTGAGGCTGGAGGCAGTGCCACTGGTGTTTTGAACGCCAATAGGGTTGTACATGGTGCATGGGTTTCAGCAGAGCTTCCAGACTGAGACAGATTCAGAAGAAGGAAGAGGCCATCCATTTCTCAAAAATTGGCCACGGAAAACCTTATGAACAGCAGAGAAACACTGTCTGACACATTACTGTGCAACTTGACAAAGAGTCCAGAAACACTGTCTGATACAGTACCAAAAGATGAGCCCCTTATGTCAGAAGGCGCTCAAAATACTAATGGAAAAGAGCTGCCTCATCAGAGTAGAACCAACCTTAATGATATGGATAAAGTAAAGCTTCTGGGACCTCCATTTGCTGACATGGCACAAGTCAAACTGATGCAAACATCCATCAATAATTGGAACATGGAATGTATGAAGTATGAATCTAGGAAAACTGGAAGTTGTCAAAAAGGAAATGGAACGCATAAAGATTGATATCCTAGGCATTAGTGAACTGAAATGGACAGGTTTTGGCCATTTTGAATCAGACAACCATATGATTGTCATATGCCAGGAATGACAAATTGAAGCAGAATGGGATGGCATTCATTATCACAAAGGATGTTTCAAGATCTGTCCTGAAGTACAATGCTGTCAGTGATAGGATAATACCCATACACCTACAAGAAAGACCAGTTAATACTACTATTATTCAAATTTAAGCACCAACCACCAAAGCCAAAGATGAAGAAATTGCATACTTTTATCAACTTCTGCCATCTGAAATTGACTAAACATGCAATCAAGATGTGTTAATTATCACTGGTGAGTGAAGTGCAAAAGTTGGAAACAAAGAAGAATCATTGGTAGTTGGAAAATATGGCCTTGGTGATAGAAATGGTGCTGGAGATCACATAATTGATAGAATTTTGCAAGACCAACAACTTATTCATTGCAAATACCTTTTTCAACAACATAAATGGAAGCTAAACATGTGGACTTCACAGATGGAGTACACAGGAATAAGATTGACTACATCTGTGGCAAGAGGCAATGGAGAAGCTCAATATCTTCAGCCAAAACAAGGTCAGAAGCTGACTGTGGAACAGACCATCAACTGCTCATGTGCAAGTTCAAGATGAAGTTGAAGACAATTAAAACAAGTTCACAAGAGCCAAAATATGACCTTGAATATATCCTTCCTGAATTTAGAGATAATCAAAAATAGATCTAATGCATTGAACACCAATGACCAAAAGCAGAGGAATTGTGGGATGGCATCAGGAACATCATCCACAAAGAAAGCAAAAGGTCATTAAAAGGCAGGAAAGGAAAAAAAAGACCAAAATGGATGTCAGAAGAGACTCTGAAACTTGCCCTTGAATGGAGAGTAGCTAAAGCAAATAGAAGAAATGACAAGATAGAAGAGCTGAACAGAAGATTTCAAACAGCAGCTCGAAAAGACAAAGTCAATTATAATGAAATGTGCAAAGACTTGGAGTTAGAAAACCAAAAGGGAAGAATACACTCGGCATTTCTCAAGCTGAAAGAACTGAGGAAAAAATTTAAGCCTCAAGTTGCAATATTGAAAGATCTTATGGGAAAAATATTGAATGATACAGGAAACATCGAAAGAATATACAGAGTCACTATACCAAAAAGAATTGGTTGACATTCATCCATTTCAGGAGGTGACATAAGATCAAGAACCAATGGTACTGAAGGAACAAGTTGAAGCTGCCCTGAAGGAAGTGGCGAAAAACAAGCCTCCAGAAACTGATGGAATATCCACTGAGATGTTTCAATAAATGGATGCCATGCTGGAGGCACTCACTAGGCTATGCCAGGAAATTTGGAAGACAGCTACTTGGCCAACTGACTGGAAGAGATTCATATTTGTACCCATTCCAAAGAAAGGTGATTCATTATCAAACAATATCATTAATGTTGCATGCAAGTAAAATCTTACTCAAGATAATTCAAAAATGGTTGCAGCAGTATATTGACAGAGAACTTCCAGAAATGCAAGCTGGATTCAGAAGAGGACATGGAACAAGGGATATCATTGCTGATGTCAGATGGATCTCAGCAAGCTGGATTCAGAAGAGGACGTGGAACAAGGGATATCATTGCTGATGTCAGATGGATCTCAGCTCAAAGCAAAGAATACCAGAAAGATGTTTACTTGTGTTTTATTGACTATGCAAAGGCATTTGATTGTGTGGATCACAGCAAATTATGGGTAACACTGAGAAGAATGGGAATTACAGAACACTTAATTGTACTCATGAGGAACCTGTATACAGACCAGGAGGCTGTCATTAAAACAGAACGAGGGGACTCTGCATGGTTTAAAATCAAGAAGGGAGTCCATCAGGGTTGCATTCTTTCATCCTACTTATCCAATCTATATGCTGAGCAATTAATCTGAGAAGCTGGACTATATGAAGAAGAATGAGGCATCAGGATTGGAGGAAGAATCATTAACAATCTGGGATATGCTGATGATACAACTCTGCTTGCTGAGAGTGAGGATGACTTGAAACACTTACTGATGAAGATTAAAGACTACAGTGTGCAGTATGGATTACACCTCAACATAAAGAAAACAAAAATCCTCACAACTGGACCTACAAGCAGCATCACGATAAATGGAGAAAAGACTGAAGTTGTCAAAGACTTCATATTACTTGGTTCTATAATCAATACCAGTGGAAGAAGCAGTCAGGATATCAGAGGACGTATAGCACTGGGCAAACTGGCTGCAAAAGACCTCTTTCGAGAGCACAGATATCTCCTTGAGGACCAAGATGAGCCTGACACAAGCCAATTCCAAGCCATTTTCAACTGCCTCATACATATGTGAGAGCTGGACAATGAAAAGGGAAGACTGAAGAAGAGTCGATGCATTTGAGTTATGGTGTTAGCAAGAATGCTGGAAGTACCATAGAACGTTAAAGGAACTAACAAATCTCTCCTGGAAGAAATGCAGCTGGAATGCTCCTTGGAAGCGAGAATGGCCAGACTTCATCTCACCTACTTTGTTCATGCTGTTAGAAGGAACCATCCCCTGGTGGATATCATGCATGCTTGGTAAGGTGGAGGGTTGACAAAAGAGGGGAAGGCCCTCAATAAGATGGATTGACACAGTGGCTGCAACGATGGGCTCACGTATAGCAAGGATCATGGAGCTGGCATGAGATCAGGCAGTGTTTTGTTCTGCTGTGCATGGGGTCACTATGAGTCAGAGATAACGGCACCTAACAACAACAAGAACATTTGTTTGTGGGAGTTCTTTATCTATTCTGATGCTAATCCTTTATTAAAGATATGGAAAATCTTTCTTCCTAATTTCTCTTTTAATTTGGCTTATAGTTTCTTTGTTATTGTTATGGATCGAATTGTGTCCTCCAAAAAAGACATGTTTAAGTCCTAATCTTAAGTCTTTCCTAAGATTAGAAATATATTTTCTTCTTATATTTACATAATTTTTACAAATAAGTTTAGTTCTTTAATACATCTGAAATTTATTTATTTTTTCTTCCAGTCTTCTGAGCTTTATTCCTAGTGAAATGCTGCTCTTTTGGTCTCAGACGGTTGATTGTTCTAATGAGTGCATACCTTCCTCATATTATTGTTCAACTTAAAGACCTATTGTTTGGCTGACAATTGAGAAATGGGGGTTGAGTTCAGTTCCTGGCTTGAAGGGTATGTAAGGACAATAGTCTCTGGGGTTCCACCAGTCTTCATCAGACCAGCAAGCCTGGTCTTTCTGAGTTTTGTTCTACATTTTCCTCCAATTAAAAGTAATTTTTGTGAGTGTTATAAGGTAAGGGATCTAATTTTGTACTTTGTAAACAGTTGCCCCAACTGGTTCCCACATCATTTCCAATATTCAAAAAACACTAAAAAAAAAGTTATAATTTATATATAAGAAAATACACAGATTTTAAGCCTATGGTTCAATTTTTTGAAATTTTTCCAACTTTTTATTTGGGAAACTTCAAACCTATAAGAGAGTTGAAAGTATTATGAAAAAGTATATACTCTTGCTTAATATTCACAAATTGTCAACATTTTGTCACATTTGTTTTATCTTATCTGTCTCATTTTACACACACACACACACACACACACACAGGTTTCCTGAACTCTTTAAAAATAAGTAACAGACATAATGACACTTCACCCAAAATATCTCAGTATGAATCTTCTAAAAACAAGGACATTCACTTATATAACCATATCACTACCATATTCCAAACCTTTAACACAAATGTTATTATTATCTAATGTACATCATTATTCAAAGTTTCTCAACTGTCTGAAAAATATTCTTTAAACTTGTTTTCATTTTTTCCCAATCCAAGTTGTCATTGCTCTCTCTTCTCATTAAGATAAAATTTACAAATGATGAGATTTGATAAATGTAAACAGCCACCAAACAGCCATACTAATCAACTTATATGTGGTACAGTGAATTACTTAATATGGCCTTCTAGCCATGGTTCTCCATTTTGTGATGTACTGCAAATCCTAGTCTCTATACCTGTGGTTATGGCCCCATTTAGGAGTGAGCTGTCCTTTATGTTAATGAGGTAGTATTAGGGTGAGATGTATCGAGTCACCACCTTACTAGAAGGTTTGACTCAAGTCACTCACTACCTTTAGTTGCCTTAAGGGTATGGTTTATGTCCAATATACACGAATGTTCTGGCAAAATTCTCTCTCTTGCTCTTGATTCTCCATCTGGTTTGTCATCATCTAATGTGATTTACCAACTTCCATAAGCTTGTGAGTCATAAGTTATCTGACTTGCTGATTTGGGTTCACTGGTCCTTGCAACTACAAAAGTGAGGAGAATCCTTCAGACTTGATGACTGACCCATAGATTTAGGACTTGCCACCACCCTCTACAACCATGTGAGCCACTTCGAATTATGGAACCCTAAGACAGGAGGGAGAGTCATGAGGGGAGGAGAACAGATGATGGATTGGTACAGCAGCTTGGAAAAGTCAGACATATTTAACCTTTGCCTTATAGGACCCAGCTTAGTGCTGATCCTTCTAAAATAAATCATTCAAACACTATAAGACTTTCTTCCCCCTACAAAGTTTCTTAAGGCCCCTCTCCAGTTACCATGCCCCCATCCAGGGCAACTACTGTCATAGTTGTGCTATACCAAAGAACAGAAAGATGAAAGAAAGGTTTCTTACAGAGCTAAATGCTTCAAGAAAACAACGAAAACTGCTGTGTACAATCCTACTTTTAGAATTAAAAAATTGTATGAATTTAAGATTGGATCATTCTTAGGTTAACTACCACAACATGAAGCAGATGTTTGCTCTTAAACAGATGCCAACTAAATATATAGGGAACAATTCAAATTTAACACTTATAATTAAGCTTGAACCTCATACCAGATCTTCTCAAGTGAGCAGTTATAAAGTAAATAGAGATATAAATGGAGCAGCAATTGATACTCTATAAGGATAAAAAAAAGTTAATGCAATGGAGCTCTGCTAGCATAGTGCCTGAGGCACTTGACTGCTAACCAGAAGGCTGGCGGTTCAAACCTACCAGCCACTCCTCGGAAGGAAGGTTGGGCAATCTACTTCTGTAGTGATACTGCCTCGGCAACCCAAGGAGGGTCGCTATGAGTCGGGGCCGACTTGATGGCACATAACAACAACAACAATGCAATTTTAGATGACTGAAAAGCACCAGGGCACCATAGCTAGTACACTGAGTTCTATTTCTACAATTTCATTTACTGGGGTATCTCTAGGTCCCAGTTTCATTACGTTCAACATTATGTTGCATTAGATATTGCATGGCAGTGCTACCCAATCTGTTTCATGTAGAAAATGGTAACATATGAACAGCCTCCTAGAATTAACAGAGGAGGCTACTGAAAGCTAGAAGCTGGTGTAGGTGATTTTATTGCTCAGAGAGCTGTAGGGACCAATATCTCAGTGCACTTATAGCCCACTTGAGGCACAAACACCATTATGTCTTGGCTCACAGTTTGGGAAGCTTTGACTCGTAGGACTGGCATACCTTAGAGCTAGTTAGGAATGCAAAATCTTATGCCGCACTATAGACCTACTAAATCAGGATCTGCATTTTAACAAATCCCTAGATGATTCATAGATATATTAAAGTTTAAGAAGTACTGCTCTAAGAAACTTTCAGCTCTTCTGAACATTTACATTAGGTAGATACACTCCTTGGAGAGATGAATCATGAGAGAATAGAAGGGCATTGTATGCACAGGGAGACAGCTGGGGGGGGGCAAGAGTGCATGGGAGGGAAGGACACTGGGAAGAGGTAGCTATGGGGGGGGGAAGTAGGAAGAGAGCTACTACATTGTGAGAAATTGTACTCAGTGTCATGAGACAAAATATGTATGAACTGCTATATGGAAAGTGAATTTGTTCTATAAACTTTCACCCAAATCACAATAAAATTTTTTTTAAAAAAGGGAGAGAAACTTTCAGCTCTAAAATTCAATGAACTAAAGAAGCAATTTGTTTTATATGAAATTCATATATTTCATCATCTTACTGAATTCAGTATTATTGTTACAGCAAAATGTAGAATGTTGTTTTTACATAATTTTGCCCTAATTTTTAAAAACAAGCATTTACTTTTTAATTAGAAAAAGAGAAATGTATTTACCTGCTTGTATACCTGTCGTAAATACATGATCTCCTCCACAGTTCCCAAGGCTATCAGCCTGAGCACTTTGACATCTCTGCACTGCCCAATCCTATATGCTCTGCAAAAAGATTAAAAGCAAAACTAAAATCAAGTGAAAACAGCTTTGGGTTCAAGAAGTAGCTCTTGCACTTAAAAACTGTACAATATTAAAATTTTTAATTGATTTTAAAAGAAACATTTTATGTGTAGGTGTGCTGTATTATTTAATAACAAACAAAAATGGAAATCCAGGTACAAAGATTAATTATTGCAGAGAAAAGTACTGTAGAAAAAATAAAACATATCAACTTCATTTCTGTTATAAACATCACCTTCCAGTGTTCCAAAACTTTTTCTAAATTCATTATTTCTAGTTTTATGGCAATCTTAATGCTTTTGAATGGGTCGTGTTGCCAAATGATTCCATTCTTACGAAACTCTCAAAAATCCAAATGAATCTTACAGTGTCAGAAAGCAGATCAGCATTTGCTTGGGGATGGTAAGGCACTGGGCGGAGGGGGAAGGATTACAAAGGAGCACAAGGGAAATTCTTGGGGTTATGGATATATTCACTAACTTGTGATCATGGTTTCACAGGTGTATAAATATGTCAAGGAGCTCTGGTGGTGCAGTAATTAAAGCACGTGGCTGCTAAACAAAAAGGTCAGCAGTTCAAACCCACCAGCTGCACCGTGGAAGAAAGATGAGGCAGTGTGCTTCTGTCTGTAAGCAGTTAAAGCCTTGGAAATCACATGGGTAAGTTCTACTCTGTCCTATAGGGTCATTACGAGTTAGATTCAACTTGATGGCAGCGGGTTTGGATATTTTGGTATGTTGTTGTTGTTATGTGCCGTCGAGTCAGCCCTGACTCATAGCGACCCCTCCTTGGGTTTCCGAGGCAGTATCACTACGGAAGTAGGATTGCCCAACCTTCCTTCTGAGGAGTGGCTGGTGGGTTTGAACCGCCAGCCTTCTGGTGAGCAGGCAAGTGTCTTAGCCACTATGCTACCAGAGCTCCCTATGTATGTCAAAATTTATCAAATTGTACATTTAAAATATGTGCACATGTTGTTGTTATTTGCCATGAGTCAGACCGACTCACAGCGACCCCTCCTTGGGTTTCTGAGGCAGTATCACTATGGAATATTGCATGTCACATACCTCAATAAAACTGTTACAAAGTTCAAAAGGAAAAAAAGAGGTGGGAAGCAGTTATTTGTAGGTGGTGGTGGTGGGGAGGTACCTAGGCATCACTGACTTGCACAACAGAGGTTTTGACCCAGACCATAGAGCTAATTAAAACTCTACTCTGACTCACCATGCTGGTAAACTCCAGGGCCATTTGCTGCAGCTACTGCCAGGTGCATGAATGTTACAGTTGCTGAGAACATGGGTAAGGCCATACTGCCTACATGCTTGAAAATGTTCAAATCTAAAAAAATTTATTTTGGACTTTGTAATGCCACTCTCTGTTGTTGTTAGCTGCGATCAATTCAATTCACACTCATAGGGACCCTATGTACAACAGAACAAAACATGACCTCATCCTACACTATTCTCTCAATTGTTGCTATTTTTGAGCCCACTGTTACAGCCACTGTGTCAGTCAATCTCATTGAGGGTCTTCTCCTTTTTCACGGACCCTCTACTTTACCAAGGAGCTCTGGTGGCATAGTGGCTAAGGCACTTGACTGCTAACCAGAAGGCTGGTGGTTCAAACCTACCACCCACTCCTTGGAAGGAAGGTTGGGCAATCTACTTCCATAGTGATACTGCTTCGGAAACCCAAGGAGGGGTTGCTATGAGTCGGGTCCGACTTGATGGCACATAATAACAACAACAACAACAACTACTACTACTTTACCCAGCATGATCTCCTCCAGATACTGGTCCCTCCTGATAACATGTTCAAAGTATGTGAAATGATGCCCTGCCATCCTTGCTTCTAAAGAGCATTCTGGCTGTACTTCTTCCAATACAGATTTCTTCATTTTTCTGGCAGTCCATGATATATTCAACATTCTTAACCAACACCTAATTCAAAGGTGTGGAATTCTTTGGTCTTCCTTCCTCATTATCCAGCTTTCGCATGCTTATGATGCTATTGAAAATACTATGGCTTGGGTCAGGTACATCTTAGTCCTCAAGGTGACAGCTGCTGCTGCTTCTTTTTTTTTTTTAACATTTCAAATAGGTTATTTGCAGCACACTTGCCCAATGCAATCTCGTTTGATTTCTTGACTGCTGCTCCCATGGGCTTGTTTATGGATGCAAGTAAAATGAATCCTTGATATCAATATGTTTATTATGATGTTGGTCCAGTTGTGATCATTTTTATGTTGAGGTTTAATCCATTCTGAAGGTTGCAGTCTCATTTTTATCAGTCAGTGCTTCAAGTCCTCTTCATTTTCAGCAACGTTGTATTATCTGCATACTGCAGGTTGTTAATCAGTCTTCCTCCAGTCCTGATGCTTAATTCTTTTTCACATAGTCCAGCTTCTCAAGTTATTTGCTCAGCACATAGACTGAATAAGTATGATAAAAGAATACAACGCTGATGCATACCTTTCCTGATTTTAAACCATGCAGTGTCCCTTTGCTCTGTTTGAACAGCTGCCTCTTGGTCTATGTACAGGTTCTATATGAACACAAGTAAGTGTTCTGGAATTTCCACTCTTCCTATTGTTATCTGTCAATTACCTATGCATAGTCACTAGAACACAGGTAAACATCTTTCTGGTATTTTTTTTATTTCAGCCAACATTCCTCTTACATCAGCAATGATATCCTTTGTTCCATGTCCTCTTCTCAGTCTGTCTTGAATTTCTGCCGACTCTCTGTTGATGTACTGCTGCATCTGTTTCTGAATTATCTTTAGCATAATTTTACTTGTGTGATATTAATGATACTGTTTGATAATTTTCACATTCCAATGGGTCACTTTTCTCTGGAGTGGGCATGAATATGGATCTCTTTCATTCAGTTTGAAATTTCTTTTTGATCTTGTAAGGTCACACTCAGGGAGCTCTGGTGGAATAATGCCTAAGGCATTTGACTGCTAACTAGAAAGCTGGCAGTTCAAACCTACCAACCACTCCTCAGAAGGAAGGCTGGGCAATCTACTTCCATAGTGATAACGCCTTGGAAACCCAAGGAGAGGTTGCTGAGAGTTGGATCCGATTTGATGGCAGTGAGGTTGGGTTTGTTTTTTTTTTTTTGGAAGGTCACGCTCATGTTGTTATATTTGGTGTTCACAGCTTCTCCCTCTGCCTCTTTCAATCTTTTCTGCCCACAGAGAAGGGTTTTCACTAGAGGGCATCTTAAAAAAAAAATCACTGCCATCAAGTCAATTCGACCCCTCTTTGGGTTTCCAAGGAGGTATCTCTACAGAAGTAGATTGTCCAGTCTTCCTTCTGAGGAGTGCTGGTGGGTTTGAACTGCCAGCCTTCTGGTTAGCGGTCAAATGCCTTAGGCACTATGCTATCAGAGGTTGTTGTTGTTGTTATGTGCCGTGGAGTTGGACTCGACTCATAGCGACCCCGACCCCTCCTTGGGTTTCCGAGGCAGTGTCACTACGGAAGTAGATTGCCCCATCTTCCTTCTGAGGAGTGACTGGTGGGTTTGAACCACCAGCCTTCTGGTGAGCAGTCAAGTGCCTTAGGCACTATGCTACCAGAGCTCCCCTATCAGAGGCAGGAGTCCTGTAAATCTTTATTCACAACCCCAGGGCAGCACGGGACTCCTGTGACATAGCACAGCCAGGGGTCAGTGACCTGCATTCACATTACCATTCTGAAACCTGGATTCCACAGAGCTCATGATCCCTTTCTGTCCCACAATTCATTTGGGCTCTAAAGAAAATCAGAAATGGGTGTAAACAGAAGAACTAGATGGTGCCTGGCTACCAACCACTCGGAGGGGGATCTATGTAGGAGATCCTGGATAGAGAGGGAGAACAATGTGGAACAAAACTCAAAATCATTTGGAAAAAAAAAAAGGGGAACCAGGTTTGCTGGTCTGATACAGCCTGGTGGAACCACTGAGACTATGGCCCCTAGCTGCCCTTCAGGTCTAGAATTGAACCCACACCTGTAGCTTCCTGCCAAACAAAAGACAGGCATAGGAAAGGAGTTGAACATTTAGCTGAGGTAGATACACTCCTTGGAGAGAACAATTATGGGAGGAAGAAGGGCTGTTTATGCACAGGGAGACAGCTCAGGGGGCAGGGGTACATGGAGGGATGGACATGGGGAAGAGGTGACTGTCGGGAGAAAGTGGGAGGGGAGCTGTTGCATTGTGGTGATTTGTGATCAACGGTCATGAGACAAAGTGTATGTGAACTGCTATATGGAAAGTGAATTTGCTCTGTAAATTTTCACCCAAATCACAATTAAAAAAAAGAAAATCAGAAATGGCTCTAAGTCAATGTCCTTTGGGTGTATGCTCAGCACAGTTTAGTAAATGGGAGAGATTCTATTAGAATGCATCTTTTAATCTTTCCAGACAAGATTTTTATATGTGCCTTTGGACCTATGCCTCATTAATTTTTTGGTACATAAAGCAGAAATTTATGAGATGGATTTTTACCATAAGTCAAAGAACTTAAACAATATGTAAGTTAATTAACATATTTGTTCTTGATAGCCTACACGAAAAAGTACAAAATTACACCAGATGTCGTAAGAAAAAGAATCGGAGGATTAGTCTGTGGTTTTCATTTGATCATTTTCCTTGACTGCTGTCATTGAAAAAACGCTAGTTAAAAGTATAACGTCTGCCTTCAGACTGCGTGGATTTGGATCATTGCCATGCCACTTACTGGTTGTGGACTTGAGCAAGTTACTCAAGCTTTGTGCCTCATCTTCCTCATATGCAATATAGGTTATGACAATAGTGTCTATCACATAATGATATTATTGGGTATTAAATATGATAATCATGGAAAGTAAACACTGAGAAGAGTTCCTGGCTTATAGTAAACATTCAGTATGTGGTAGCTATTATACTGCCTTTGTCCTTTATTCTTGCTGCCACTTAAGGAACTGATGCTAATTTGCTTTGCATAAGGCTGTACCCAGC